CTATGGATAACCTTGGTACACTGCAGACTTCTAGATTCCTAGCATTGAGGGTGTGAGAGTGGTTTGCCAAAGGGCTTTTGTTGCTTGTTTTCTCAACGTCCACCCCATTCTCAGCTTTAGGTCCTCCCTTTGTGTCTCTTTCTATGCTCTGGCCCCTTTGGACCTGCCCAGCAGTAGCCTCCTGGTCACTGTTGCTTTCAGCTTTCTAGCAGGCTGTGGATGGCGATGGGAGAGTTCTCCACGGTTCTGATGAAACCTCAGTACTCAGGTGTGTGGTCTCTTCCCGACTCCAGCCCCTCCTCAGGCTGTTGTTTTGAGCCCTTTATTTCTGCTCCTCTCCCAACGGTGGTTATCCCCTCTTTTCATTTGTGCTGCTTCCTTCCCTCAGGACCACCCTACAGCACACTTTCTGAGACCTTGTTCTATCCTCCCCATGGGAAAATTCCTGATTGTGTTTGGGAAGAGAAATCCTGAAGAGGATGTAGACTCTCCCTGTTTCTGTAACCTCCAAGGGCCTCCTACTCTCCCGTCAGCCTTCATAAATCCACCAACTTTGCTGGATGAAGTCTTCTTCCCAGTATCTGGTGTGTCTGCCCAGGGGAATGAAGCTGTGCGCACACCTTGTCTCTTCCTGCAGGAGTCCTTTCTATTTGGATTTGGACCTGCTGGTTGCCCAAGGATCCCGGGGAAGGAGTTTATGGAAAACTCATGAGTTACCCCTTTGTCTGACTAATTTTCATAGTCAGGTTGGGGAGGATCTTCCTTCTGTCTCCAAGCAAGAACAAGAAGCCAGCTCTCTCCATTTGAACCACTGGGGTTGCATTCTAAGTCCTGCCAGGAACACTCAAAGTGTTGAGGCCGGGCTTTGAATCTAACATTCTCTCCATAGCTTATTTTTTCTTTCCTTCTTTATCATAAGCCCTCCCTTCCTAAATTTACATTTCATTCATAAAATATTCACTGAGCACCTACAAGGTGGCAAGCTCTAAGCTTGATACAGAGATAATTTCGTAAGGGCCTCTCAGTAGTTAAGTGACCATAAATCTAATAGGGGTTATCACACGGGACCACAGGGGGCCAGAGCCACTTCCACCTGTGAAACGGAGGGAGGCTGGTGGCTCATGGCCACACAGCAAGTCACTTTTGGAACCTGCCTTGCGTGCAGCAGGCCATTTTCTCAGTCACCCAATGTCATGTGACCAGAACCCCAGGCTGAAGGTCAAGAGGTCACCCAGTGGAGGGGAAGATGGCGTCACAGAACCCCTTGAAGCTCCCCAGCAGCAGACCTGTGTGCTGAGGGAGGGAGAGCTGGGTTCCCTACAGCTGTGAACTCTGAGCCACACGGCTCTGAAGTGTGTGTGCTTTATGTCAGCCGTATTATTTAATCCAACAAGAGGACTGATTAGAGCCAACTTACAACTTGTGTCAGTAAAAGCCCATGCCACAGGTAAGCCTAGGCTAATTATTTTTCTTTTTTAATAGTAAAACATTTGGGTTGGAATCTACTAAGCTGCCTCATGGAGCTAAGGTAGAAAATCCACTGCTAGATCAAGGGTCCATGGGCAAAATCTGTCCACATCCTTGTTAAGAAACACCATGATACTGAGTGACATCATGCTTCACTCCTAGGCAGCCTCAGAATTTGCACGCATTTTCACCTGCGGTATTTATTCAGTTTTTGGAGTTCTCATGAAGGCCTAGAACTAAGGTAGGGTGAGGACTGCTTTAGACCTGGGTGAGTCACATGCCTAATAGCCACTGAAAATAGGCACCTGGCACCTTGGCTTTTGTTCCCAGTCTAGGCTGAGCCACTTGGCCGTGGCTCACTCCACATGCCATGTTCTAGCTCATTCTGGAATATTTTCAGGGACCTGACTTCTTCCCTGGATCTCCTGGCCTTGATGCCCGATTCTGTTCTTCTCCCTGACCCCCGATTCCCACCTATTCAATGAAGACTTGCTGCTGCTCTTTTGATGAGCTTACTTATACTACCTTTCATCTCCAAACAACATTTCTGCTGCTACTGATATCAAGACCAACAGTGCCTGAAATAACAGCCACTGGGCCAGCTGTCCCGTAAACACTTAAGCTGAGTCAGACACAAATGTCATTGAAACTTGAACTTTAGGTTATCTCTCTGAACCAGACCTCTAGTGTACAGGTAGGCCACAAAGGGGAACCGTGCGGGGGCAGCTGAAAGATCATGGGCTTGTGCTCTGGCCCTGCTGTACGCTCACCGGGTGATCTTAGGATTGCTCGCCAAGTATTTCTGTGTCTCTGTTCATATAAAAAAATCCTGTGGATTTTTCCTGCCATCTGAAGTTGCCATGCAGCTTAAATGGGAAAGAGTGTGGCACACAGTAGATCTCAACTATGTGAGTTTCCTGTTCTATTTTAGGGCTTTTATCTCCCATTTCTGGTTTGCACCAACAAGGACCAGAATTCTTCTTGAAGTGGATTCTCTGAAATTCAAAATGTCCTGGTGTAAAAAGTGATTAACACTTCCTTGGGGCTGGCATTGTGGCATAGCAGGTAAAGGTGCTGCCTACGGTGCTAGCATCCCATATGGGTGCCAGTTCGAGTCCTGGCTGTTTTACTTCCTGTCCAGCTCCCTGCTAACGTGCCTGGGAAGGCAGTGGAAGATGGCCCAAGTATTTGTGCCCCTGCACCCACAGGGGAGACCCGGATGGAGTTCCAACTCCTGTCTTTAGCCTGGCCCAGTGCTGGTTGTTACAGCCACTGGGGGGAGTGAACCAGCAGATGGAAGAGCTTTCTCACTCTTTCTCTGTCTCTCCATCTCTTTCTGTAACTCTGCCTTTCAACTCAATCAATACATCTTAAAACAAATATTTCCTTCTTCATGCAACACCCGCGATGGCTGAATGTCTCAACAAGGAACGGGAGCAAAGGAGGCTTTCTGGTGGAGGTAGAAGCAGTCGTGGTTCCGGCATGGTGGAGGGTAACGGTTGCAGTCATGTGTAAGCCGTCGGTCTGGGATCTGAGGCAATGACCTTGGGAACTAATTGAGTGCACAGACTTGCTCTCACAAAGAAACCCCTGTATTGGCTAAATAATGTATAAGAGATTTCCATGGGGCAATGAGGAAAATTGAATTATTTAGCGTATTTCCATCTCAATGAGTTAATCAAGATAATTGCTGTTTTCCTGAATCTTTGTCTTTTCTTTGTAATTAACAGGGCCCTTGTTGGGAGAGAGGAATTTAGGCAGTGAACTTTGTGCAAACTGCTGTGACAGTTTTTGTGCAAAATTATATTTAAAAGTCAATTACAGATCTTTTTCCTTTGGATTCTCAGACTGTGAGAAACTGATGCCTGATGAAGCTTGAGAAAAACTTCAGGGCTTGAGGATTTGAGTTCATTTGAGACCAACAAACTCAGCAGGGAGGGGAGGGGCGGCCGGGCTCTGTGAAGCGGAAGGAGCAGGAGCTGTCCATCAGACAGACTTGGGTTGTGATCCCTTTTCTACCATGTTCTCAATATGCCACAGGGCAAGGGGGCGTCTCTGAGCCTCACTTTCTGTGTCTGTGAAATGGGTACTATCACCCATCTACCAGAGCTGTGGTGGGGACTGGGTGTAGTGACACAGTTCCCGACTCACGGCTGGTGTTCAGCAAGGTTTAGTCCCTGCCCCTCCTCGTGCGTCCTTGTACAATGGTGCACGGTCTGCCGTCTCGGTTGTTTGGAACTCGGCAAAGACCTCAAAAAAAGCTTTAAAGAAACCTAAGTAGAAAAGATGTTACAAAGTCCATTCACTGAAGTATCTTATGGAAGAGCACTTCAGACATAGATATTTCATTTTGGCTAGGATTGTAATAAGCTATTCTTCGGGTTCTCTGACTGCACCACTCAAGAAGCCCTATTCCGGGATGGGTATCTGGCCGAGAGGTTAAGATGCTGCATCCCACATCAGAGTGTCGGGGTTCGAGTCCTCACTCTGTTCCTGACTCCAGCTTCCTGCTACTACACACTCCTGGAGGCTGGAGTGGTGGGGTCTCTGCCACCCACAGGGCAGACCTGCTTTGAGTTCCCAGCCCCTGGCTTCTGCCCCCAGCAGGCATGGCAGAGCACTGCAGGCATCTGGGGGCCGAACATGCAGACTGGAGTTTTCTCTCTTCCTCTCTGTCTCTTAGTTAACTACCTAACGAACAAACTAAAAACCTGCATCAGACACACACACACACAAAACACAAGTTCTATCTAGCAGGGACACTAGCTGTGTGACATGGGCACTACGGGTACAGGTGACACAGGCAGTCATGCCACACTGCGGGGAGAAAGCAGTACAGCTGTACCCAATAGACATGACAGCTAATAAAAGAATGGTTTAAAATCATTTCAGTTAGGGTGGAGGGTTTTGTAGCCTCATTTCCTGGAAGCCATCTTCACAGTACACCAAAATATGCAATCCCTGTTTCTTATTAATGATACTGGTCTGTAAAAAAGATCATTGTTTCTATACAATGAAACTGGAAAGGGAGGCATGAATGTACTTCCATAAGAAGTTCCATCCACGATGGTTAAGGCGGAAACATTTTTGCGGAACCTGAAAACATGAGCTTCAATTATGTGCAAAATTCATCCACATGGAAGTGTTCCTTCTCCCATTTCTATATTTCTGGATGGTGGCCATATAAGGGATTTTCCTAAGTACTTTTCAACTACATCAATTCCCTGCCCAGGTACCCATTTTACAGATGTGGAAACTGAGGCCTAGAGTGATTAAGCCCACAGTAGACATGGGGTTGAAGCCCAACTCCTCTTGACCCGAAAGCTCATGCCTTCTCCACTAGATCAGTTTTCTCCTAGAAGAAATCATGTGGATTATGAACACATGTAACATACTTCAGGCAAAGATTTGTATCCCAAATCCTGCAATGCAATTAAACACCAAATCAACACCAAATCAATCAATTCATCTCTAAGCTCTCACAATGCATCGAAGGAAACAAAGGCATCAAATGGCCTTGTCCTGATACTTACTCGTAAAATGTGGTCCATCCGTTCTCATTGCTTTTGGTCGCCAGGAGGCCAGAATTGCCATGGTATGTCATCATGGCCAACTCATGACCTTGTGTGGTCACACTCTTGAGGGCGCTGTTGGTGCCCATGGTCACCCAGTACACCTGGCCATCTGGGACCACCAGCCAGAGGGGCATGCCGGTGGAGTCCCGGCGCACGTTCACCATATTGCCATTGTTGTCCGTGATGAGCGTGACGTCGCCGTCCCCGGTGTAGGTGAAGTTGTACAGGTAGTCGCCCGTGGGCAGGCTCTGGGTGTACAGATGCTTGCCGCTGGTATCAAAGAGGTAGAGCTCTTGGTCGATGGGTGAGGACAGTTCGTACAGGTTCTGGGTGTTGAGGAAGGGCTTGTTCTTGCGGATGAACCGAATTCGGATGTTCCCAAGGTCCGCCACGTAGAGCTCCCCATCAGCACACACGGCCAAGGACGACGGGGTGTTCAGCTTGGCATCCTTGGCGTAGCCATCATCTCCAGAAAAGCAGTCACAGTTGGCGTCATTCTTGCAGTCGCAGCCACTGGGCGCCCCAGCTACCAGGGAGATCTCTCCGCTCGTGGTGACTTGCCTGATGCGGTTGATTTTTTTCTCATCAGTCTCAGCGATGTACAGGACCCCGTTGTGAGAAACAGCCAGCGCGGTGGCTGACTCCAGGGTGGCGTGGATGGCCACCTTGCTCAGCAGGAAGTGGTCGATGCCGGGGACCTGGCAGTGCATGGGCCGCCCGGCGACGATGCGCACCTGGTGGTTTTCCGAGATCTGCAGGACCACGTTGTTGTCGAGCACGTAGAGAGAGTTGTCCATGGGGTTGATGGCCAAGTCTGTGGGCCACTCCAGGCGAACCTGACAACGGAGACACGGACACTCAGGTGACCAGCAAGATGTGCACTGCTCATCGGCCCAGACCTCACGGAGCCCAGAACAGAGTGGCCCTATTGGTCACGTGATCTCAGGGAGAGCACACAACAGCCACCATGGAGACATCCGATGTTGGCCAAAACATGAAGAGGGAGATGCCAACCACAAAAGCTGGGCAACAAGAGGCCAGACGTAGGAGATAGACAGGCCTGGGCTCCATCGCTTAGGACCGTGGGCGAGTTACCTTGCCTCTCTGAGCCTCAAGATAAAGATGACGATGGCGCAGAATGCCTGACCCAAGTTGAGTGCCCCAAGAATGGCACCTGATACTGTGGAGATGGGAGGGCAAGGCAGATGGCTTCTGCAGGCTGGGTGGGAGTTGTTCAGAGGATTAAGGAAGACCCCTGATGAATGTTTGATATGACACATGTATGAAAGGCGATTCCTCAGGTCTTTGAGTTCATGGATTAACACATGGCTAGGTGCTGGGGATGTAAATACAACACAGCCACGGCCTCTATCTGACATAGATCTAGACCAGTGATTCTCAAATCTGGCCTCACATTCAAATTATCCGTGGAGGTTTTAGAAAATGTTGATGCTCACAGCCCACTCCGGGTCAGTTAAATGAGATCCCTGGGTGTGGGGCTTGGGACTGGTAGTACCATTCCAGACAACGTCCTGGGTGATTCTCACGTGGGTGGAATTGCAGCTAGACCCTTGCTCCTTAATGGGTGGTGATCAGACTCACAGCCAGGCAGAATGACTGGCCTCGCCCCCATTTACTGGGTTGTATCTGCATCCAAGCAGAATCCTGGGGTCTGGTGCTATGGGGTAGTAGGCTAAGCCTGTGCCTGCGGCACTGCCATCGCATATGGGTGCCGGTTCAAGTCCTGGCTGCTCCACTTCCCATCCAGCTCTCTACTATGGCCTGGGAAAGCAGCAGATGGCCCAACTGCTTGGGCCCCTGCACCCACATGGGAGACCTGGAAGAAACGCCTGGCTCCTGGTTTCCCATCGGCCCAGCCCCGGCTGTTGTGGCCATTTGGGGAACGAACCAACAGATGGAAAACTTCTCTTTCTGTCTCTCCCTCTCTCTGTCTATAACTCTACCTCTCAAATAAATAAATAAAATCTTAAAAAAAATCAACAAAACCAAAGCACAATCCTGGGTGATATCTGCACACACCGAGCTGTATGAGGCCTGCTCTAGATCAGAGTTTCTAGTGCCTCTGAGAACAGGGCCTCCTGGAAGAGACGAAGGAGGCTGGCAACAGGAACTGGCAGTTCAGAGGCTGGAGGCCCATGCAGAGTCTCTGCTGAGCCGGAATGGACAGGGACCACAGTGCATCTTCAAGCGGGCCCACGGGAGAGGGCAGCCAGCAGGGTTTGTGAGCCATGTTCTGTTCAATGGCCACGAGGCTGGACTGTGGACGTCTGGACAAAGCACACAGGAAGGTGCTGCCATGGGGAGCAGGCTCTGCCATCTGGGACCCGCGGAGGCCCAGCCGTAGCCCATGGGTACGAGTGCTGAGAAGTGCTCCCTCCTGCTGTTTTTCCTCCCCTACCCAGGGATCCTGGGCCCCCATAAACATTTTGTTCAATGTGGGATTGACTTAAAAAAGTGAAGATGTCAGAAATGTTGATTAGGTGAAGATGTCAGAAAAAAGATTTTTTTTTGCAGGAATTTCTCCTTGTGTAGCATAATAGCGTTGTCTGTTAAGAGTGTTTATCCCAGCTACTTTTAAGAATGGTGAGAAACTGGAACTGACTCACATGCTCAACAACCAAAAATTGGCAAATAAATCCCAGCATTCAGTTCACCCAAAAGCTAGAATACTGCATGTGGTCATTAAAAGTGTTGTTATGGATGGATATTTAATTACACGGGAAAATGTCTGCGACACAATCAGTATGAGGACCAGGTTACAGAATACATGCACAGTGCGACACCAATGGGGGAAAACCCAACCCCAAGCCACACGGATTATACACAGAGATATTCACGGCCTGAGCGAACTACACGAAAACACTGGCCGCTCTGGGACCTAGGGGGATTTAAACGTCCTTCTTTGCCATTTTTAACTTCTTATGTTTTTACCATGTACACGTGGCTAGTTTATCAACGTAGAAGAAACTGCAACAAACAGGGGCTGAGGCCACCTCCTTGTGTGCCCTTCAGCTCAGGGCCTTTCTCAGCACGGGCAGGTTCTCTCTGAGATCTTCAGCTCCTTCCTAAAGCCTTCTTGCCCCTTACTCCCAGTCCTGAACCCTCTGTGCCCGCAGAGTGAGGGAGCCCAGAGCCTGGCCAGCGAGGCTGCCTCACCCGCCCCCCTGCTCTCTGGAACACTGTGCTGCCAGCATTCAGAGGCATCAAGAACACAGTTTACTCTAAAGTGACAGGAGATTTTTCAATTTCCTAAAACCCATTTCTTGTCAACACTGGCCGCTAAATATTTTATGCCCTGCGGTCCTGTGGCACCTCGGGGACCTGCCTGCACAGACCTTCCTGCCTGTCATTATGGTGAAAAGATGGTTTCCGATGGGTGTGGGGGAGGGAGGGAGCAGGGAGGGGAAGAGAGGAAGAATGGAGCAGGGGGCGCTTCCCGCACTCTCCTCCTGCCTGGGGAAGCAGAAGGGGTGCGCTCTGGACGGGGTCCTTGCTCTGCTCTGCAGCCTGCACGATGCTCTGGATCAGGCCTCTTGCCTACACCCTGTAGCCCTGTAGGGGTGACCCTGCTGAGGCTTTGCTCCCCGGCCCAGCGTGCAGGGATCGAGTGTCATGACTCCCGAGGGCTTCCAGCTCTGCCTTCTGGTCCCAGCGTGGAGTGGAGCTCCCCCTCTCCCATCCTCCCGAAGATTCTGCGCCTTTGGGAGAGCCCTCGGAGCTCACCGCCTTGTTGCTGACTGGCTGGCAAAAGCTGCCTGGAAACGGAATGCATGAATGACCAGACGGTGGCACAGGGACCGCAGCAAGGGACTGGCGTCAGAACATTCCACGCCCGACTGCAGGGCCACAGGTACTAAGTGCGTCATCTTGTTCACGTTTCTTAAACACAGAACTGCTTCCCCCACATGTAACAGGGATTAATAAATATTACATAGGGCAGTTGCCAGGATCAAAGGAGACAATGTACAAGCAAGTTCTCTGTAGATAAAAAAGGGAATTAATATTTACATCCTGTTACTAAGTGCCAGGCCCCTGCGAGGTGCTGTATGTGCATGAATGCATTAAAACAATCATGTCCATATCCCTGCTGGGACCTAACAGGGGGCTCTGCAAATGCGTTCTCTTTCACCAACCCTCAGTTTCCTTATCTGTAAAATGGGATGGGTAGGGATTATGAGAGCCAAATAAGAAAAGAGAAGTCGTCCACATATCTGTATCCTTACTGCTCACAGAGTGACTGGCACATAAGAAGTTCCCATTCTGAGCTGCGAGTACAGTCACTCTCTGCCTCTGGGCCATGCCATGCCGAGCAGAGAACCAGCCCCCAGTTTTTAACATGGTTGCAGCCATTGCTTTATTTATCTTGAATCTCAATAGCTTATAATACAAAAAACCCATTTATTTGAGAGGCAGAGAATCAGACTGACACAGAGACAGAGAGAGCGCCACCTGCTGGCTCACTCCCTAAATACCTACATGGTTTGTTCTGGACCAGGATGAAGCTGGGATCCGGGAACTCAATTCAGGTCTCCTAAGTGGGTGGCATGAACCCAGGTACTTGGGCCATCAGTGCTGCCTTCCAGGGTCTGCATTAGCAGGAGGCTGGAGTCAGGAGCGGGGCTGAGAATTGCACCCAGGCTCTCCAAGGTGGACGTGGACATTTTAACTGACACCTTAACCGCTGGTCAAACGGCTGCCCCAGGATGCACCCTGCTCTGCTCCTTCTCTATTGTGTGCCTTCCTCTAGTTTCTGTTTGGGTCTGGGAGGAGGTGATTCAAGATGATCAGTGAGGAGTTTCTAACAGAAGCAAGAGAAGGAAAGCCAGTTCCCCTGCCCATACATGCACATAAAAATATATGCTTGCAGTGGAGAGTTTGGCTAACCACCCCACACTGCTTCCAAACTGAAAAACCTCACCCATACTGAGATTCAGATGAAGGTACTGACGGCCAGGGATACAGGGATCTCAGCCCAGAATTTCTGAAGGAGCCAAGCGTGACTTTTTGCTGTGTTTTGCTTCTCCCTCCACTCTCTGCCAGCTGTCTTCCAAGCCTTTGATCTGACTGCTTGGCAGTGCCTTTATCTAAAGTCAAACAATTTCCCAACATGCGGATTGACAATTTTCGCCACCCTATGCCCATTCTGAGAATTGGAAATCCTTGTATGCACATCCTCTGGCCGCGGCGGCTTCCTGATGGGTAATTCAAGCTCACTTGCAGAGCAGAGGGGGCGACTCTGCAGCCAGCCAGGGGACTCCTGCCAAGCTGCAAAGGCGAGTGGCAGAGAACAGAGTCCATTCCGCGGGGTAACGGGCCTGTTCACTGGCACAGAGGGAAAGTGTCCGACAGGTGTGGCATGGGTGTGGGCTGCCAGGGGCAGCCATCCAGCTCTGGCAAGGGCTCAGCCCCACAGGTCAGGAGCAGAGGCAGCACCACCAGTGAGGCTGGGAGGAGTGGCCTCAGCCCGCCCCCAGGAAAGGGCTCCCCCAGAAGGTCTGAATGGCCAATGCTGGCGGAGCTGAGGCAATTTGCAATTTGATTTGATGTGAGCCTCCTTGTTTCCCAGGTTTTGGTCTTGTTGGCAAGAAGGAGGTTCATCGGTCGTCACAGGCCAGGCCGCACTGAAGGATCTAGCAATAAAGGACACGTGCCTTGCTGAGTCATCGCAGGGTTTACTAAGACAGTGCTGGGTAGCCAGTCACGTGGGCCTTCTGTTCTCTCCTGAGTTCCTGGCACCCATCTGCCCAGGTTCAGACTCTCTGCTGTGCTATGACAAGGTGCTTCCCTCACTGGATGCAAGCTGCGCTTCTCTCTGCAGCTCCTGCCATGTTTTCCAAGTACCCTATGCTCTGGCATTCCGTTCTCCACTGCTCTTTGAAGGCACCCAGCTCATTCATAACCTCGTGCCTTTGCACATGCCATCCTCTGTGTGTGAAAACACCTCCTTTTCTCTCATGCTACCCGGGGAAAGTCCTATTCAGTCTTCAAAACCTGGCCTCCCTTTTGAAAGTGGGTGCTGGAGGCCCTCCATCAGCTCTGAAGTGCCAGGCAGCACTAGGAGTCGAACACGCCTGTCTCGTGCATTCTCAAGGCCGACCCGCCAGGCTGATGCGAATTATTTCCATTTGACAGACATGCAAATTTATCTAAAGCTGCTGAGCTAGTGAGAGGCCAGGCCAGGAGCCCATTGACAGATCAAACAGTTAATCAGCCATCAAGTATGAGTTGTACCCTGGTGCCCTGGGTGCAGCAGAGGAGAAGAGTGACAGATTCCTGTCCTCAGGCAGCTTGCAGGGTAGAAAGAGAACAGACAGTGTACAAGTGTCGCTCCCCCTCTTCGCGGAGGAACGACACTAAACCCTGCGCTGTTCTTTTGTCTGCTCGGCCCTTCCCGGGTTTGCTGCTGGTTCTTCCCAGGTTGGCTGCCGACCCTTCCACCTCTGTGGAAGGGCGGCTCCCCCGCCACTTTCCCCACTTCTGCAGGGGAGCGGCACACCGCCGGCCGGCTCTCTCAGGGGCTGCTTAGATGTTATCCAGATGTTCCTGGTGCATGTTGTCTCTCTCCTCCTTTATAGTCCTCTTCCACCAATCCCAACTCTGCTACCCACACGCTGAGCACGCTGCTCTCCTCCAAAGAGAGGCAGCTGTGTAGAAGTTGTTTACTCCTCTCCCAGCTCCATATTGTAGGAGAGCAGATGCATAGAATAAGTCTTAATTCCAGTAACTTAGTCTAGTCCGAGTTGCTCCCCACATACAAGCACCTGAAAGTGTTAGGAAAGAGGAAGTGTAGGCGGCTCCAGAGTGACACGATATACACTCAACACCCTGTACAGCTCTGTCTGTCCTCTACTGCCTCGGAGGCTTCCCCGGGCAGGCTCACACTTGTCACTCTGATGGTGAGTGCCAGAGCCCAGGACTGTGTCTTCCTCCTCTCTGTGTCCTTGCCCAGGGCCAAGGAGGCACCCTGGAAAGGCTTATCCATTGCAACGATGGACAAAGGGCCAGTGAGCTAAAGTGGAGGATGGGAAGCCATGTGTACAACCCAGGGTGCTGGCAGGCAAAGCCTCCTCCCTACCTGAGAGATGTCCATGACAGAATCGCAGCTGAGCGGCCGGGCTGACGTGAGGTCATTGGAGCCCAGCAGGGTGGAGATGATCCCGTTCTGATCAACGCGTCGGATCATGGTGCCGTCCACGAAGTAGATCAACCCGAACTTGTCCACCGTGATGCCTGGAGGTGGGGAAGGCAAACAGGGGGTTCAGAGTCAGTGGTGATCATGACCCACACATGGGGAGACTCCTGAGTTGACAGAGCACGCCCCTGCGAGATCTGATCAGCACCCCCTACAACTCTCGCTCTCCTTTCCTGGTGAGCAGAGGGAGGCACAGAGGCTGTGGGTGACTTGTTCCAAGCAGGGCTACAACTCAGATTCTTCAGGGATCTGGTCCTCTCACTTGCTGCCTCCATGGACTTCTACCTGTCACAGGATTCCTAACTTCTGGGGACTTGTGAGACACTAGGGGTGGCGGTAAAGGAGGATCTTTTTCAGTATCTACTGTGCGAATTATTTCAATTAACTTACTTTTGAAGCCCTGTAATTATAATAATGTCAAATGCCTTTATTGGTTACCAATTTTTCTTTTCTTCGAAGAGAATCATACTTCATGTGTTTCTATCATGATTTTTTCCATTGGTCATTACAAAGGCATAGACTTTAAAAAGAATCCTATGGATTTGTGTAGACTCTGTGTGTGTGTGTGTGTGTGTGTGTATGTATGTGTGTAGATATTAAATTTGAGAGGCAAAGAGATAGAGAAAAGGAGAGAGAAAGAGGACAGAATGCTTCCATCTGCTGGTTCACTTCCAAAACACCCATAATGGCTGGACAATGAGCCAGGAATTCATTCCAGGTCTCCCACATAGGAAGCAAGGACCCAACTATTTGGACCATCACTTGTGGCCTCCCAGAGTGCACAATGACAGGAAGCTGGTGATGGAAGTAGAGCTGGGACTCACACCCACGCATTTCACCTTGGGAACCTAGCACCCCAAGCAGCATCTTAACTTCTAGGTCAACCATCCTGAAGGGAGGAGTCAGGATTATGACTCAGTACCGTCTGCTCCATTCATTAGACTTTCTAACTCGGTTAATTTCCTGCCCCAGGTTGGGAGACCTTGGGCCAATCACTGGGGATCTCTGCAATTGTTTTCTCTGCTGTAAAATGAAGGGATTGTTCTGAATGTATGCTTCTCACTCTTGGCTGTGTGTGGCAGTCATCGGTGGAGCTGGCAGAAACACATCAGGTGGAGCCTCAGCGTGTATCTGCATTTTTGACAAGCACCTTGGTGGCAATGCTACAAACCAAGGTCTGAGAACCACTGCGCTCAGTATTCCTTAGTCAGCGATGTGTACCAGAATCGCCTGGAGAGTTTTCCCGACACACACCTGCCTGGAAGTACTAACTCAGAGGAGGCTGGCCCTGCAACCAAAGCATGGTTTCAAAAAGCTCACAGGTGGTACTGCTTTCTACCATCAGTTTAGATAGAACCATGAGAGTCAGACAAACCCCTACCAAACAGGAGCTCTTGGCGGGGACAGAGGAGACGGGCCCGTGGAGTGCCTGATCCAGCAGGGAGTAGGGGGCTGCAGGAATGAGGCAGAACCATGGGAGATGCTGCAGGAAGGGAGACAGAGGCCACTGTGATCACTTTTGTTCTGTTCCATTTTCTCTTGGGCAGGGCCTGGAGGAAGGGGTCGCAAAAGGTTTCATCCAGGCAGAGACACTTGAATTATACATTAGCTTTCTAGTGGCAGGTGTTTGGCCTAGCAGTCAGGATGCCTGTGTCCCATACTGGAGCATCCGGCTTCAAACCCTGGCTCTGGCTCCTGACTCCAGCTTCCTGCCAATGCAGACCCTGGCAGGCAAGGGTGATGGCTCAAGAGACTGAGCTCCTGCCACCCGTGAGGAAGACCTGGGTTGAGTTCCCAATTCCCAAATTCAGCTGCAAATGCTGTGGACATTTTGGGAGTAAACCAGTGGATGGGAACTCTCTTCTCCTAAAATAAATATTTTTGTTAAAAACAACTTACTTTCTAGTTGTACAAGGACACTTGAAAAAGTTCATGGAAAAATGTGCATTATGGAAAAAATCATGCATGCATTTAAATTTTTTTGGTCTCGAAATAAAATTATCATTTAATTTTACTTTCCATAAATATGGTAAAGTCCCCTTGAATTGGTTTGGACACATCACTTGACTTCTCAGTCTCAGTTTCCTCACTGAACAGAATGGAAATAATAAACATGGGGCTTCTAAGAGCTGGGCCTCAATAATTACTGATGAGCACCACAATCACGAGAAGGGGCCGGCACTTTGTGGATTTCTAGGTATCTGCTCTGGGAGCCCGTGTGTCTCTGGCCTGAGGGGTGGTTAGGCCTCCCCCTCCCTCCCCAGGCCTCTGCATGGTGAGAACTCACTGCAGAAGGTTGTTCCTTCCTACCCCATCCTTAGGCTGGAAAGTGGGGGGAATCTCACAGAGTACCAGGCAGTCCCGGGCTGGACAGCCTTCCTGCCCAGAATGCAAAATGATTTCCTTCTGGAAGCACGGAGACAGGCATGTTCCCGTGTGCCTGGCCGTGCCCTGTCCTCTTCCATCTGCTAGGACCGCTGAGCGCTCCAGGAACAATGGGGATTCCTGTTTACAAAGGCGGCTGCACTGGTAACAGAAGTGATCTGTCCCCTGATTAATGACTTCACTGTTTTCTCCTTTTGTTGTGCTAACGAGACGGACCTCTTTTCTCCCACCTGCTGCAAAGTGTCTGCAGACTGTGGCACCTCTGTAATTTCTCTTTGTGTTAATTACAGGCTTTTGGGCGAATGTACTGCCTGCCACTGGTTGTGTCAGCGTGCGAGGGTGGGTGGGAGAGAACTGGGGTGCATACAGCCCCCAACAGAGGCCTGGGGAGAAGAGAAATACTTGGGAAAGACGGTTTCAATTCTAGCAGAGCAGGAGGCTGCAGCTGAAAGGGGCTGGGGGTCATGAGGCCCAACCTGCCTGGTTACAAATGGGGAAACTGAGGCCCAGAGGAGGAGGTTCCAGAGGGAGCCAGGTGCGGAGGAAAAGCAGAATTCAGGATCTCTAAGTATAAGTCCGGTGTTCTTTCCTCTCTTGGTTGCTCTCTCAATACCAAGAAATCGTAATGAGGAGGGTGATCACCACTGAAGATGTGGAATTTATCTATAGAGTTATTGCCGATGATATAGGGGATGTTTACCACCTGCTTGGAACTACTGCACTGAGCATTTAGATTCCTGATAATATTTAATGTGTACTACGACTTATGCCATACATCCCTAGGGAGCAGATGAGAAAAACAAAGTTAAGCAGCTTGCCCAAAGCCACACAGGTACCGAATGGAAAAGCCTGAATTGGAACCCGTTTCTCTAGAATCCACAGCTTTGCTTTGAAGCCAGGACCTGAAATCTGGCAGTATCTAATAACACAATCACCCACCACATGTTATAGGATATTTTATGAAACTTCTTAATTTTGACCCTCAGAGTGATCTTAGGAGGCGGACACAAACGGTACAGTTACCTCCATTATTCCGACGAGGAGCCTGGGGTGTAGCTATGCTAAGTTGCAGGCTGGCAGACCCTGCAGGGTAGCTGGGTTAAGTGGCTGGCTTGCGGGCTGGCCACACGGGGAACGTGCCACTCCAAGGGCGGCTGTTGAGAATGACAGCTTCTCCTCTAGCTGGTCCTCCTTCTCTCCAAGGGACAGGGTCTCCCTGGTCCCTCACCCATGGCTCGCTCTCTCTGCTTCTCAGGGGAGCACTTCTCCCTCTCTCCCCTTTCAGCGTGATTCACGCCCAAGTCTCATTCTGCTACAATGACCTTATCTATGTAACAGCAGACATCGGTACCCTCAGGAAGCATTGGATGAAGAAGTGGATGAAAAATCACGACTGTGGGCACTTAGAGGTTCAACTTTTGGAGGGCTCAGAATCAGAAGCTGCAGTTAACCCCCACGATAGCGCGTGCGCACGTGCACACACACACACACACACACAAAGATGACACATGCCAGTGTTTCTGCCTAAAAATAATACAAGAGACAGCATGAGCGTTCACCAGCAAGGGACTGGTAAATAAATAATGGGATATTCAGGCTAGCCGCATGATGAAATACTGTATGGCTATGAAAATGGAGCACTCAGAAGACTATTTAGCGACACAGAGAAGCATTTGTGATACATTCACATGGGGGAAGAAGCGGCTTGCTATGGTAGTTCACTTAATGTGTCTCGTTTTGTTTATAGTGAGCATTACATATACACAAACATTTGGATAGAGGGCTAGGAGGAAAGAGAGGAAAAATGAACGGGGAGTATTTGTTGGCAGATGGAATGAACACAATTTCAACTTTCCTCCACCTATTTCTTGGTATTTTCCCAAAAATGCTTGCAACGATTGTCATGCGTTTCTTTCAAGAATGGAAAATGCTCCAGTAAAGGATTTCGATGGTGTTTAGAGAGCAAGGACTCACCCCTGGGGTTGGTGAGCGTGGCTTCCGTGGCCTTGCCGCCGTCCCCACAGCGTGTGTCATCGAAGGGGAGGCACTGGTCGCCGGTCCCTGCCACCACCTCAGAGTTCTTGACAAGGTCCTTCACCACCACGGTGGACTTGATCTTAAAGACGCGCCTGCTGTTGGTGTCGGACAGGAAGACGGCCCCGCTCATGGGGTCCGTGGTCAGGTAGTATTTATGTGCTGGACTGTGGCTAGAAAACAGAGAAATGCCACGGGTGAGCACTTTCTAATTCATTCCTATCAGGTGGTTAGAGACGCACCACGCGGATCCCCCACTGTTTCAAACATCAGTGGAAAGTCTTACAGTCTTACACCACCTGTTGGGTGGTGGTTCCCCAGCTTCTCTGACCTCAGCAGTTGGCCTCCTTGCCCCTCCCTCCACCTGCTAATACAAAACCCTCTTTTCCCAATTGTGAGGACACAGCCATGCCCCTCTCAGGTGCTCAATGCAGGCCTTCTTAAAAAGATGATCAGCGAGGCTTATCAGAGGTGGCCCGTTAATTCAAACTAGAATTCTGGGGGCTGACTTTGGAAGACACTTCAAGAGTTCAGACACTCACGCCCTACCCCACTGGAGTTCTACAGCACCCTCTCTCACCCTCAACTTGGGGCCTGATGGATGAGACCCTGGCTAACCCTGACTCCTGGTCAATGCCAACGTGATCTGCTACTGATGCTCATGTTACCCTGATCAGGAGCCCATAAGCTTCCTTCGTGCAGTTGGCTAGAAGTGAACTGCAGGATTCGTCTATAATTGGCAGCAACACCCAAGAAAAAAGAAACCAAAGCCAGCAGCACTGCTGCTGATGGTCTGAGGTCAGTCCTAAAGGACAGACTCTGCGAGCAGAGGGAAGAGAAGTGAATGGAGGCAGGAAGCAGACTGTGCCCCTCCACCGGCTGCAGATGGCAAAAAGCATGGGATTTGCAACTAGGTCAGCCTGGGTTCCAAGTCTAGCTCTGGAATCTCCTGGTTCTGAAACTTGGGCAAATTAGCCAGCTTCCCGAGCCTCAAGTTTCCTTCATTTGCAAAATGGGGCTGTAAACAGCTACCTGCCATGGCATTGGGAACACTGCAGAAAACCATCAAATGCAGAGCATTTAACAGAGAGTCTGGTGATAGGAGGTGTGCAATACTTATCGCTGTAACTACCAGTGATTGCACCTGCTTTTACATCTGCAGATGACTACAGAACAGGGATCTCTGATGAAGCCTGGGTTTTGCTGCCCCACGGTACTGAAATACAATGTTTTCCCAGGCTGGGGCACACGGGAGTTGGACACGTCGCAGCTGGGAAGCTGCTTTTCCATTCCTGTGCATGGCCTCCTCTGTCACCAGGTCTGCAAAGTGCACCTCAGTATCAGCAGCCCTTCTCAGTCTCAGCCAACTCTTTGGGTTCAAAGGAATCTCTTGCCGTTCAGACTGCCTGACTGGTGCTGGCCATTTTCACTACACAGTAGGTTCAGAGCCTGTGCTGGGGCCTTAGGTGGATAGGCTGAGCAGGGCCCAGAGTGCCAGCAAGTCAGGACACTGCATACTCCTTTGAGATGCAAGAGAGTCAGAAAAGTCTCGAAGGAGGCTGCTTTACATTTATCAGTCCTTTTGAAAAACAAATTTTATTGTACAGATTGGTGCTTTTGGATTACCTTTCAAAGTTGGGCCCCCCAATCTTTTCAGGGTCAAGATCACTGAAGGTCTTAATCTGGCCCTGACTGCTGTCTCTATAAAGGTCCCTTGCTCTGGGGACTGGCTCCTAACAGGGCCAGATGTGCAGACACAGCATTTTCCTTGCTTTGTTTTCTCTCTGAATTTGACTAACCCAACATCATTTTCTCCAATTGCCTTGGCTCTCCAGCCCTCACACTACAGCCCCATCAGCTCCTTCTCAAATCTCTCTGACCTGTAGCCTGGTTGTGCCTCAAGCCACTCTTCCTGATCTAACTTGAACTTCACTGCCTCCCCTTCCAGCACTCAGCTCTCCCAGAATCAAAGGGAGACTCCTGGGACAGCCCCCGAGGTCTTCGTGCTGGGCCAGCTCCCTACTCGGCCCTCACACAGCCTGTATATGCCCCATACCCTGACAGCGTGTCCCTCCAATGTGCCTTCGGGCCCGAGTGCACCTGCTGCTCCTGCTCCATGGAACAATCAGTCCCCTTCCCTTTCCTGCTCATTCTTCAGGTGTCAGCTCCGGCGGCACATTTTCTGGCGAACCCTCACCCGCCTCTCTTCTCCATGTACTGAGATTCCTATCTGCTCACATCTGAATTTCAGGACATATACAAAATGCTGTGGCCATCTATTTAGGTGTGTCTCCCAAACCTGACTTGTTGATACTTGAAGGGAAGACATTTTTGCATTTGTAATGTTCAGCTTCATGCTTTCTAGCCCAGACTATTCACTTGTTTTAAGTAGATGGCATCACCATTTTTGGTGTATTTAGGTAGTATTTTTCTTTTTCTTTTTTAAGATTTATTTTATTTGAAAGAGTTAGAGGTGGAGATAGAGATACACACACACACACACACACACACACACAGTCTTCCATCTGCTGGTTCACTCCCCAAAAGGCCACAAAGGCCGGAGCTGAGTCAACCTGAAGCCAGGAGCCAGGAGCTTTCTCTGGGTCTCCCACATAGGGGCAGGGACCCAAGGGCTTGGGTCTTCCTCTGCTGCTTTCCCAGGCGCATTAGCAGGGAGCTGGATCAGAAGTGGAGCAGCCGGACTTGAACTGGCATCCACGTGGGAAGCTGGTGCTGCAGGCCGGGCTTTCACCCACTGCACCACAGTGCTGGCCCCTTTGGTAGTATTTTTCATTCCAGTGACTTAGATTCTACTTATCATTTAGGGTGGCGGTAACTGGACAGCTGTCCTGTTGATCTTGAAATGTCCCCAGTGACTTAGCCTATAATGTAGCACAGATCTAATCTTCCCTGATGACACTGACTCTGCCTTGAGAAAATGCAGGGGCCTCCGACCCTGCTCTGCAATGCTGCTCTCCTGACGACAGCTGCGGGGCAGGCTGATGATTTCATTTTTGTGTGCATCACTTGTGACACTCTGGTGCTATCTGTCTTGGCAGAAAATGCTCCCTGAGGGAGTATGATGGAGGCCCCTGTCCACTTGGATTAGCCCCCTGAGTTTCCAATTCATGCCTCTGCCTCCTGCACTGCCCCAGGGTTTCTCAGATCCGTGAGTTCCAGGAGAGGACGGCACTGGCAGCATTGCCCCAGGGTCTGGAGGAGCTGTGGCCATGCTTTCTCATGCCCAGGGACACAGCCGAGGTCTGAGAACCAGAGGGGAGAGCTGGAGTGCAGACTAGGGGTCAGAGGTCAGCTCTGCCACTCAGGTGAGGGGCCTTGGGCAAATCACTTCATCACTTGAGCCACAGCTGCTTCCTGGGAGAAATGGGGACAATCACACCTACTTCAAAGAACGATTTTAAGGACAAAATTGCGTGAAGAATACAAACCTCTGTGCATAGAGCCTGCACCATTGAAACATAAAATGCCCAAGAAATGGTAGCTTTTAAGTGCATCGGGTCACCTTGAGACACCTTTAACGTTTTCCTGCTGGTGCATAAGCTGTGCATGCCAGGCTCAGTACTGTCCTGGGGAGTCCACTTCCTCCCATGGTTTAAGACTCTGCTGAATGACCACGTGCAGCTGCGCCTGATGGCGACTTGGGTTCAGTGATACTGAAGGGACTGGCTTGTACTTCCCTCTGTGAGCCTTGGCAGAGATCTGGGAGGAGAGGGTGCTGATTCCTTGAAGGGGTCCACAGAGAAAGCTGCCAAAGGACTGAGCATGCTCAGCGGGGTGGGTGGCACTGAGCATGTGAAGGCCAAGGGCAGAGAAGAGCCTTCCATGGAGAACACACACCCAGGCTAAGGTCACCACTGTGCAGCTAAAACTTCCAGGGAGCAGCTGATTCAGCTGGGGGGCAAAGAGGGCGACATTCTAGGGTTTCTTTAATCCACCTCCAACATCCACTGATGGGGATCCACAGAGAGGAAGGGGTTTGCCAATACCCAGGTCATGGTTTAAACTCAGAGCTGGAGCCCAGGTTTTCTGTCTCCTGATTGTCTTGAGAAAATCGGAAGAGGAGATGGTATTGTGGCTTGATGGGTTAAGCCACGGCCTGGGACACTGGTATCCCAAATGAGTGATGGTTGGAGTCCTGGCCACTCCACTTTTGATCCAGTAATGTGCCTGAGAAAGCAGCAGAAGATGGCCTGAATACCTGGGCCCCTGCTACCCACATGGTAGACCCAGATGGAGTTCTAGGCTCCTGGGTTTGGCTTGGGCCAGCTCTGGCTACTGTGGCCACTTGAAGACTGGACCAGCGGACAGAAGACCTCTCTCTCTGCCTCTCCCTCCCTCCAACTCTGCCTTTCAAATAAATAAATAAATCTTAAAAAAAGAAAAAGAAACCTGGAAGGCAGAAAGCGATGCCTTTTTTTCCCTTGCACTTTGTTCACTCAAGAAGCAGTTTGCAGCACCTGAGGAAAGAATGAGTAGAGAGTGGACAGGAAGCTGGCTTTGAAACAAGCGTCTATCACAGGTCTCTGGAGATCTGGGACGAAAGGTACCCATGTCAAAACCCTTTCTGTTTACAGATGGTGAGACCAGAGGCCAGGAGAGCGAGGTGGGCAGGCCACGGCCACAGTGAATGCGTAGCAGGGCTGGACGAGCACCCTGGCCTCCGACTCCTCCCGGCCACATCCTCCTGCCGTGAAGCTACGTCCAGTCTCTACTGCTGCTGCTAAATGCAAAGAGCTTCATGAGCAGTGAACTCCTGAGCTGAGACACAGAACACTGCCTGGTTCAATGCCACCACGCAGACGGCATTCACCATCTGTAGGATCAGGAAAAAATTGTCTCCTCTGAGTAGTGCATCTATTTCCCATCTCTGATCGTGGAAATCACATGGATAATTCTGTTTTCCTTATTAAATCTGCTTAGAGTCTAGCTTGCTGGACCATCACATATGTGTTTTCTCCTTTTGTCTTTTGTTCCCCCTTTGTGTTTAATTTACTTGAACACATGTGTCTGCATACAAGAGACCTCAATTCGTTTTTGGGAAATATAAAAGGCATCATCACCATCACCATATAATGTTATGACAGTACATTATAATAACACACTAATCATATAAACAGCGTGTTGCTGTTGTTGCCATGATTACAATTACTACTATTTCTGTAGCTCCTTCATGAGCCTGAACATGCTGAACACGTTACAAACCCTGCTGGGAGCTTCACAACCCACTAAAGGAAATGATATTAACCTCCTCTAGACTTCAAGCTCAGAGATGACCCAAGTTTTTCAAGGCCACACGATTGGGGAGTTTCAGTTTTCCTCTTTGGAAGTCATGCGGGGTGCCTACCTCACAGAATAGACTGGGGATAAAATGCTATCATTTATGGAAGTGACGTAACCTTCTCTCTGCCCCCATAGAAATGCTCTATACATATTATTATCATTGCACATGTGATTTTACATAAAGAATATAGCAACACACAGGAATGCAGGAATAGCATGCAGGAATACACAGAATTAGTCCTGGATTTGGGGTCTGCCCGACTCTTTCCACCCCCAAGACTTTCTTTAACTCTAGCTGAGCACCATGCCGTGGGCCACCGTGACCTGGGCACATGTGGATGACTGACAGCCCAGAAACCACAGCTGCATCTGCCATGGTTGTGAGTGTGGTTGGGGGACTCTGAGGTGACTGTCACCCATGAGCCAGGTGGATGTCACGGTGACAAGTGACACCAATGGGAGGGCATTTCTCTGTGTGTCTGACTAGACCCACTCCTGTCTGCTATGGTGTTGCTCTGAGCCTGCATGACACATCTGCTCTGTGCCAAGTGTCTCTTTGGGGAAGAGTTCTCTGCAGGCCATCGCTGGGGTCTGCTCCATCCTCGCTGGCACACCTGCCGGCGGGGTCACCCAGCTCCCCAAGGCCGAGGCACGTGGGATGCCCGTGGAGGTGCGGAGACCTGGAGCCTGCCTTCTTTCAGCTGCCTCACCTGACCAAACACACCCACCCGGAGCGTCCCAGCATGGCCAGCAGAGCCACTCGACGTGCTTAGGGAGATGTCCTCGTTTACTGAGGATGAGCGGACTGTGCCATTCAAGTTTAAGTTCTTCCCGCCGCTCTGCAGCCTGTCACGTCCACAGACAAGCGGAGTAACTGCCTCACTACACCACATGCAAGGGAGCTCGGGCCGTTCCCCTCCCCCACCCCACTTATTAGTGACTTCCTCTGCCTGAAGTGGATTACCCCCCCATCACTTCCAATCACCCAGGATTCCTGTGCCCTGCAGCCGTCTGACACCGACACGTGCAGCTTACCATACCACATGCAACAAGGCAGGGGAGGGCCAGGAAATTCTCCACTGGTTGGCTTACCTATGTCTGAAATCTTTATTTCTGACAGAAGACAGGAGAGCAGGGAATAGAAGAAAGAATGAGGTGTTAGCAGCAGGGTTCGAAGCATTATTAGCAGCCTGCAAACTTGACAGCAACGATACTGAGCAACGCTATCATAAATAAAGACTTAGCGGCTGTGACACTGATAGATTTCCTATTGCATATGACTTGTCGGAGCGCTCACGGACGCGGCGAATCACAGAGCAGGAGTGGCTTCGCCCACACTGCTGCCGCTCCCCTTGGCTGCAGAGACTGGGCTGGCACACTCTCTGCTTTTGCGAGGGCCAGGCAGTGAGCGGGGACAGTGGAGGCTCTTCCCCGTGCAGACACACCCTCAGGGACACGCATGCTCGCCACCCAGTGTCTCTGTGTGGGGCACAGCTCCCTATGAGGAGCTACCAACACTGGGGAGCCCACCAAGGACCTCATCATGCTGGGACACAGCACTGGAGAGCGACTGTAATTAGAGAGAGGGTATGGGAAAGAGAGGTTAAAATGCTAATATGTGGATGTAGGCATTTTCTTCCCAAATTTCATATACTCTCCCATTCTCTATCTACTGTCTCCCTTCCTAACAGCTGTGGCAGGGAGGCAGGGAAAATGGGATTTCTTACTTGCAACGTCTGCAAAGGGAGGCCCAGAGAGGTTAAACGGTTTATGCAGAGTTACACAGCGTTTCTGCTCCTAGTCCATGGCTCCTCCCTATGCGCATTCACGCCAGGGCTGCCTCTCTGTGACAGAAGTGTCTGCCGATCAAACTCGTAACGGACAGAAGAAAGGCAGAGGGGCTTCCGCTGGTGGCCCACCTTGCCGTTCATCTGGGATCCAGCTCCCGGTGAGACCACAGCTGCTGAGCTGTTCTCACTCGGCGCTGTGCTGCAAGGATCCAGGTGACGAGGGCGGTGACGGCTCCCGCGCAGCCAGCCAGCCCCGCCCTCCTCTCACGCATGCGCTACTGTGGCATGGGGCTCCTTTAACTGGGGATAACTTGGTAGGCATGAAGTCAAGACGGGCCAAGCGACAATTCTTCAGCGAGGCACAGCTCTGTTAATGGCGTTCCAGGCTTAGACCTGCCATTCTGGGCCATTCTTTAAAGCTGACTGACCTCTCCTTTCTCAGGTAGCAAAACGGTGCTGACCATGAACACCTCACAGAGCTGTTACACTTGGCACCTGGTGGCAGCTCCGCACAGGCCACTTGCCTCGCCCCTGCCGGCTCTGGGCGAGGGCTTTCCAGCTCCCACGCTGGTCCTTCTCTGCTTGAACCCCAGCGCGGGAGAGAGGCCAATCCCTTCCTAAGGGCTGGTGAGAGTCCTTGGAGTACTTTCTCCTGAACGGGAGCACTGCGTTCCCCTGTCTCTGGGGGCGTGGTTTCTCTGTAGCCCCAGGGCCCACCCTGTACTGATGCTTGGGTTCTAAAAGCACCAGGCTTGTGGAGAAAAAGCCAGCAAGCCACGGCCTCTCCGAGCTCTAAGTGTGGCCGTGCTTGGCCACTGTCCATCAGGATGACGGAGTAAGCACTGCCTTAGGAGAGCAGAGGGCCACTGCCCGGACTTAGTCTCTTGGCCTTATCTGGGGGTTGGTCAGTTGGTGGGAAGGACTCCTAATGCTGGTGAATGCTAAGTCTCAGGACCAAGTTTGGGGAGGCTGCCTTGGGGCTTGTCTGTTGTCCTATAAGAAGATGCATGCAACTAATTCGTGTTAGGAAAAAAAAAAAAAAGGAGATTCTGTGGCTTCCCAGGAGTCTACTTCTCAGCCGCCAGCAGTGGGTGCCAAGGCCGCGCCCGTGTCCCAGGAGCAGCTGCCTTCCCTGCAGTGCACGGGGTGGAGGTGGGGGTGGGGACGCAGCACCTGCTTGGGCTGGGCAGTGAAAGGACCCTGAGTCTCACAGAGGACTTCCCTAGGCCAGCGAAGGGACGTGGTCAGGGACCGCGAGGAAGGCGTCGCTTGCTTACCTCAGCTCCAGGATGTTGGTGACATTTCCGGAAGGGAAGATCCTGCGGATGTAGTTGAAATCGCCCACATAGAGGCTCCCGTCGGAGCCACAGGTGAGGGCCACGGGGGCCAGGAGCTTGTTGCCGTCCGCAAGGCCATTGCAGCTGGGGCAGGAGATGCTTCTCCGGCGCCCGTTGCCCATGATGCTCCCGATGACGGGCGGCTGCTGGGACACGAACTGGTTCTCCCCATTGCCTTTGTGCAGGATGCCTGGGCCCAGGACGGAAGGACAGAATCACCCAGGGGTGGGCAGCAGCTCTCTTTTCCCATGGACAATCCCAGAGGCAGCTTGATTTTGCAGGATCACTGTCTACCATGTCCAGACTCACCCTCCTCCCATGGTGACCCTCGGCGTGTCCTGAAGAGTTCCCAGCACACCTCTGCCAGATGAGCCCCATGACCATCCCATGGCAGCGGGAGGGCAGGCCACACTGATGCTAAGTGGAAGTTGTCTACAGCCCAGCTGTGGACCATTCCGACAGGCTGTGCGCACCTCTGGTCCAGACTCCGTCATCACGTGCACTCTGCGCTGCACTTCCTCACTCCCTCCCCTCTCAGTCAAATGCTCTACCCCTGAGCTATACCCTCAGCTTCTCTCCCCTTTCAATCAACATCGGACCACGTCCCTTTCATCGCTGTATCCCCAGTGCCCACTGTAGGACATGACACAGAGCAGATATGGAAATGACCGAGGGACGCTCAGATTTCTGCTCACCAAGGGACAGCTGAGACACTTGGCTGTTTTCCTGGTTTCGCTATGGAGTAGCTGAATCCCAGGTCTCGCCCGGGTCTCCTGATTGCCCACGGGCCCCAGCGTCCCCACCCACAGAAACAGGGGTTCACTCAGACACTTGTAAGCTTCCTTCTGTACCTACTCTGCACTGAAGTGCAGCTCGGCCTCTCCCTCCCGTGCTTTGCCACAGCCTCCTGCCTTCCCTGCTGAAACCCGAGTGTGCTGGGTTTTTCTGGGTCACAGAGCCTCTTCCCAAGACGTCACCTGGCACTATCCTCAAAGCTATCCTTTACTGGAGGGATGGTTTTAATTCTAATAAAGGACTTTTCCATTTTAAGGTTTGTGCTTTTGGAGGTTCTAGGAAATCGTTTCTGGAGCTTTTCAACTCCTATATGGCCTTTCGTTAATTCTGAAGCATCTTTCACCTTGAGATGTTTAAGAAAAACATCTCTGTTTATTTGGTAAGCAGCGTGAAGTGGGGACGTCTTTCATTTTTCTCCATGTGATGAGCCAGTTTTCCCATTGCCCATTTCTAAAACACCCATCCACTCGCCACTGATGGGTGAGGCAGTACAGTTCTACAACCGGCTCCTGTGCAAGCACGGCCTGTGGCAGAGAAACTCTCTAGCTCAGTGACATCTCCTCTTGCTGCAGTTACGGAGCCCTTGACACTCAGCCGGGATCCCGCGACCTGGGGCAGACCATCAACCCCTGCGCATGGGCAGCTCCAGCCATGACCGACTTCCTGCCAAGGGCGTGCTAGGTATTGGTGGAGTGGGCACCCGCCAGGAGGTGTCCTTGCAATGAAAGGGGCTTGCCCTGTGTCCTTCTCCTCCTTCTTGTGGACTGGAAAGTGGATTTGCTGCCTGGAGCCAACCTGGTCACCTTGGCAGTGACAGTCTGAGCAGAGCGAGGAGATGGGAGGAAGAGCCTAAGCCCTTTGGGTATCTATCCACCTCCAGACTCGCAGGTGGGTGGGAAACAAAAACTTGAACTGTGGGTAGTTCTCTTACTTCAACTTTTCTGACATGCACGGCCTCACCTAGTTTTAATTTTGACTCCCAGGTTAATTTCTGAACTCCCTGTCCTGGCTCCCACTGACTCTGTGAACCTGTGTCTGTGCCAGCAATGCAGTTTTGGATATTATGGTTTGGGAAGATATCTTACTAGCTGGTGACTCTCTCTGTTTTTCCTAAAGACTACCTTAGCTAGTGACACATCTTTATTCCAGTGTAAAGCTCAGACTTTGTCAATTTCCCTCACAAAGCATGCTGTGGCCCTGGGAGGTGTTCGCTGCATTTTCAGATCAGGCAGGAGCTGTGTGACATCGTGCTCATTTGCTTGCCCCACCCCTGTACACAGCCAGAGGAGTTTCCTGAAATACACATCAGAGCGTGTCATTCACATGCGTCCCCTGCCAGAAGCTTGACCTTGGCCTCTGGATGAAGGTGAGGCCGCATGGTCTTAGCCTATATCCAGCTGCTCAAGCCCCAACGTTGGCACAGGCTTTTCTTGTCATCTCACCTACAGCCCAACCCATGATGACCCTTCTCTCCAATTTCTTTTCTTCTGGGTGTTAGCACTTGGGCACACCCTGCATTGTCTGCCTAGCATGCTCTCCCTCCCCAACACCCAGGGCTACTCCGACAGTCCTTTGAGAGCCCCTAGCAAGGGTTCTCTGCAAAGGACGCCTGATGAGCCGGAGTGCTGAGTGAGCCACTCCTCTCCCATGTGTCCATGGTATCCTGTGCCTGCTCAGTGCCAGCATGGACCATGGCACTGCAGCGGAGCTGCCTGGCGAGTGCTTATGCGATCAAGTCTTGCGCCTGTTGTGGGTGCATGCCCAGTGCCTGGCAGAGTGGCAGGCTTGCAGCAGGTACCCAAGCAAAGTTTGGGCCTCCTGATGACCTGACTGCACAGGAGCCTACCTACAACACAGAGTGCATGTTTGCCTGGCAGGGCCAAGGGACCCGAGGTCAGGTCACAGCCCGGCCGGCTCAGGGAATTCCTCGAGGCGACTCACCGCTTTGGATGTTGAGTGCGTGATGCTTGTCCAGGCTCCAGCCTCCCAGCTTGGATGCGTCGATTTCATAGCCCTGCAGCACTGCTGTTCTTTTTTCCCACAGGATCAGGTCCGGGCAGGATTCATACTCATAGCCCACGGAAACTGACGGTCACAGAAGGAGCAGAAGGCACAGGTCAGCAAAGCCTCCTGCTGGCTTCAGACCTGCTTATCTTTTGCAGAAGGGGACAAAGGATCCTTTATCTACATAGGACCCAGAACCACGTGCAGCGTTAGCCCAGGGACGCCAGACCTTAATGAAGCCCAAGGGGACACTGCTGGGAAAAGCCCAGCCTGGGGCCTGACACTCCACAAGGACCCATGTGAACTGATTCAGGGGAATCATCTTAAGTCCAGAAAATACTTTATGTGCAAAACTGCTCACTGCAGTGCTATTTATAATAGTGGGAAATCAGAAGTTATCGAGGGCCAGTGCTGTGGTGTAGCAGGTAAAGCCACTGCCTATGGCACTGGCATCCCATATAGGCGCTGGTTCAGGTCCCAGCTGTTCTACTTCTAATTCAGCTCCCTGCTAATGCACCTGGGAAAGCATGGAAGATGGCCCAAGTCCCTGGGACCCAGCACCCACGTGGGAGACCCAGAAGAAGCTCCTGGCTCCTGGCTTTGGATTGACCCAGTTCTGGTCATTGTGGCCATCTGGGGAGTGAACCAGCAGATGGAAGACCTCTCTCTCTCTCTCTCTCTCTCTCTCTCTCTCTCTCTGCCTCTGCCTCTGCCTCTGCTTCTGGCTCTCTGTAACTCTGCCTTTCAAATAAATAAATAAATCTTTTTTTTTTTAAAGAAGTAATCTAAAGGTCCAAAGGGGCGAGAGGCTGAGTCAACCAAGGAATGTTACCCAGCCAGTGGGCCTAGTGGTTGTGATGATATGGGAAGTGCAGATGGAATAGTACTCAGGTGAGAAGACTCGTTATATACAGTATCTATCTACATTAAAAGGAAAAATACACATTTAAGGAAAAGATTAAAATGTTAACAAGGAGTTATATTGTTTATAGTATGGAGTATGGCTTCTTTCTATTTTTATTTCTCAACTTTTTACTAATAGACATGGTATTTTTTTAAAAAGAATTTATTTTTAAAGGAAGTTACAGAGAGACAGAGGCAGAGGCAGAGAGAGGTCTTCCATCTGTTGGTTCATTCCCCAAATGGCCGCAATGGCCAGAGCCATGCCTATTTGAAGCTAGGAGCCAGGAGCTTCCTCCAGGTCTCCCACATGGGTGCAGGGGCCCCAGAACTTGGGCCATCTTCCACTGCTTTCCCAGGCCATAGCAGAGAGCTGGAGTGGAAGTGGAGCAGCTGGGACTCAGAACTGGTGCCCATATGGGATGCCAGCACTGCAGGTGGCGGCTTTACCCACTACACCACAGCTCCAGCCCTGACATGATATTTTAATAAAGAAGATATCTACTAGCATTTACAGTGGATATATGGAAATGGAGTTCAGTTGGGGTACTTTTACTGAAAAATTCTTAAAATTAATTAACTTATTTGAAAGGGAGGGAGGAAAGGGGGAAGAGAGAAAGTGTGTGAGAGAGAGAGAAAAAGAGAGAATGAATGAATGAATGAATGAATATGAATCTTCAGTTTGCTGGTTCACTTCCCAAATGCTTCCAACAGCCAGGGCTGAGTCAGGCCAAATTCAGGAGTCTGGAACTCAATCTGGGTCTCTCACAAGGGTGTCCAGGACTCAAATACTTGAGCCAGCATCTGCTATCTCCCTGATGTGCATTCACAGGAAGCTGGAACCGGAGGCTGAGCTGGGATATGAACCAGGCACTCTGATCGGAGATGCAGACATTCCAAGTGGTGTCTGTCAACCACTGGCCCCTCTCCCCTTTATAACTGACTGGTAGACACTCAGTTTGCTTATTTCATCTGAAGAGCTTATACAGTTTTTCCATTCAGAAGAGGCGAGAGAAATGGCTTGATCTACTGAAGGGATCATCAATAGTGAGAGATGGCATCTCCCTTCCCATTGTGTGCTTGGTGGGGGTTTGGGGCTTGGTGGGTGGGATGCAAATTGGCAGGGAAGATTCAGGATAAGTTCAGTTCCTCCTGCAGATCTTAGGGAAGGTGATTTTGGACTTGCGGGGTACTTGTAAGGGGTCACTGAGATACTAATGAACAGGGGCACACACTGCCCACAGCAGGTGCTCAAGGGGCACTCTCTTGTTGCCTGCTCTATCCTCTCTCCCTCTGTCCCCTCTCCTTTCTGAACACAACCTTACTTTCCTGCTTCCTCCTTCTGCCCTTGCTGAATCTCCAATGGAATGAAAGTGGAGTAGGGTTCCAGATGAGCAGGGGTGTGCCGGGCAGTGGCTCTCAAAGGCTTGGTGGACTCAGCCTGCGGAGGTGAGGACTGCTGACAGCCCAGCTCGGAGCCCCTCCTGGGACCCTGCTCTAATTGGGAAGCTGAGAGGAGCCTGGCCAGCCCCTGGAGGCCCAAGGTCCCAGGGAAGCTGAACCTCCAGGAGCGGCTCTGACCAACTTGCGCCGACTCTTTAAAGAAGACAGCAGCAGCAACAACAAAGAGGCAGCTCTCTGGAAGCAAGGGCAAGAGGCCAAAGGCATTTCTCATCAAACAAGAGTCTTATCTAGCACCTCCAGGAAACCAAAGAAGCTCCTCTATTCTGATGGGCAGTTCAGGCAGGAGGGCCGTGGAGTGGGCAGGCAGTGTCCACGTGGCTCTACTCAGTGGCACCTGATGTCTGTTAGCCCATCACATATCACCACAGGGCTTTTAGAGGGTTGGTTTGTTTTTTTCAATTTTAATTTTGAGGAGCAGGAACTGTGGCGCAGTGGGTAAAACTGCCGCCTGCAGTTCTGATATCCCATATGGGCGCTGATTTGAGTCCTGGCTGCTTTACTTATGATCTAGCTCCCTGCTAATGTGCCTAGGAAAGCAGCGGAGGACGACTTAAGTCCTTGGGCCCCTGCACCCACGTGGGAGATCTGGAGAAGCTCCTGGCTTTGGATGGGCCCAGCTCTGGCTGTTGCGGCCATCTGCAGAGTAAATCAGTGGATGGAAGACCTCTCTCTCGTGCGTGCGCGTGCACTCTCTCTCTCTCTCTGCCTCTGCGTAACTCTGCCTTTGAGATAAATAAATATTTTTTAAAGAATTACTTATTTATTTGAAATCTAGAGTTACACAGAGAAAGAAGAAGAAGAAGAAGGAGAGGGAGAGGGAGCAAAAGCGCAAGCACTCCCCCATCCGCTGGTTCACTCCCCAAATGCCCAAAGCTAGGAGCCAGGAATTCCATCTAGGTCTTCCATGTGGGTACCCAAGTCCTTGAGCCATCACCTACTGGCTCCTAGGGTGTGCATTTGCAGGAAGCTAGAATGCCGAGTGGAGCCAGGACACCAACTCAGGCACTCCCATATGGGGTGTGGGGTCCGAAGCAGTGGCTTAACCATTGTGCCAGACACTCACCACTGGTTTTGTGTTTGTAAATCTCTCTCTTTTAATGGTCGAGCCCTCCACATTCGAGTCTTTCAGTACATTCTATTAGGTTATCGTGGCCACTAGGAGGTCTTTAAGGCCAGCCAAGCCTCATCAGGTCTTTTTGATGTGTGAAGCGGAAGGGAGGAGGAAGCAAGCAGGGCAGTGCACAAACAGCTCCCCGCCAAGTGCTCCTCTTCCTCCAAGGAGAGTGCTGAGTCCCGTGGCAAAGGGCACTTACCGAAGGCTTCAGAGAGCCCAAACACCTTCTGGTTGTAGACGTCTGTCTTGTCCCAGATGAAATAGTAGGACAGGTCAGGGGCGGCAGCAAACCACTTCCTGAAGAGCCGGCCCTCCACTGCCACCATGAGGTGCACCTTCATGAGGTTGAAGGGGATGGTGGGGTGGGTGAGGCTGATCCTCAGAACGGACTTGTAGCCAGCCGTGCGGCTGCTCAGGTAGCTCAGCCTCATCTTGCAGCCAGAGATGGCGATTTCCTCCTGCAGTGCCTGTAGAGGGCAGAGCACAGCGAGCCGTGGTCATCGGGTGCAGGGCAGACGGCCACGGCCCCCCAGACTCTGGTGTTCACCAGGCAGTGGAGGCAGCAGACGGGGAGAGGAGGAGAAAGGAGAGATGAGGGAGGGCAGTGGAGGATGCAGGGTGCAGGCGGAGGGAGAGAAGTGTGGGGATGGAGAAGGGGGAACGGAGAGGCAGAGAGAGGCCTGAGGACCTGGCTGCAGTGGTTGGGGGAGCTCTCCCATGCTGTCACCCGGTGTGGGGCGCCCCTCCCCACAGAGCCCATCTCTTCCTCTGTACGGCATGGGTGATGGTGCTCACGTCTTGCACGACTGACAGCAGCGCACACGATGGAGCACTGAGCATCATGGCGTCTCTGCTTCCTGACCAGTGTCACCCTAGAAAGCTCAGGGAAGCATGAAGTCTGAGTTCCCTCCCAGGCTGAGTGTGGCCTGAGGAAGGACCCGTGTATAACGTGCCCAGCATGCAGGTGTCAGGAGGTGTGATGATGGCGCTGGGAGCAGGGGTGCTGGGGCGTGGCTGTGGTCTGTCCCCCAGGGGGTCATGTGCCAGCAGCTTTGTCCTCAGTGTGCTGGCAGCTGGTGTGGGACCACTGGGGCCTGGGCTGGGGGGCAGGTAATGGGATCAATGGGTGCTGCCCTTGGAAGGGATTAAGTTAGGCTAGTTCCTGCAAGAAGGCTGGTTAAAGAAGAAGTCTGACTTCCGGTCTTACCACGTGGTCTCCCCACCCACCAGTGCTCCCACCATGATGCCATCTCCATGTGACCCCCACAGGAGCTGAGGCAGTGCCAGAAGCAGCTGTCAAAGCCCCAGAACTGGGAGCCAAACAAACCTCTTTTCTCTATAAAGATACTTGGCCTCAGGTGTTCAGTCACAGCAAGGGAAAATGGAGTTAAGGGTATGGGGGCACCAGGGAGAAAGACCCTGTTCTTAGACCAGCATTGACAGGTGGCTGACTAAGCAAGACTGGCTTCTCTCTCAGAACTTTCCAGAACTCAGGCCTCTTGCAGATGGCTTTGCTTGCCAGGAAGGTCAACAGGCCACGAGATGCTGGCCCAACAAACAAATGTGCACAGCTAGGAGCACAGCCTGGCCACAACCTGCAGCTGAGGCCCCAGGCCATCCCTAGGGGAGGAGGCAGAGGCCACGTGTGCTGTGCACACTGGGTAGGGAGGGCTCAGGCCTGGGCCATGTCACTGGAACTGGGAAGTGGGGAGGGCAGCACAGCAGGTGCTCTGTGCCATGGGCTCTGTTCTAGAAATGCCAGGGTGCCAGGGCCCACAGCCGAAGCTGGGAAGTTTTCCTAGCTTGCTGCTCTGAGCTCCACTTCAAGAAAGGGACATTCAAGCAATGGAGGCTAACAAATCCATGCTTCCCTCGTGTTCACAGAGGAGCTGCCTGGAAGGCCGTGAACTCTCGTGCCCAACCTCCGTAACTCAGCACAATCTCCCTAAATTATGCTTTACAGGCATCAAGCAAAGCAGGCGCTTTGCCCTGGCCAGCCGCAGGCAGGACAGACGTCCTCACTGACACCTGCCTTTGCTAATGGGCCCTTTGAGTTGCACCTCCCTTGGTGCATGCAGCGGCTGACTGGGAGAAGCCCAGGGTTTGTGTTCACACACATCATGGAAGGGATAACAAGCAAGGCGCATGCCCCAGGTGGACGTGCAGACCCCCTGCTCAGGGAGCACTAGAAAGGGTGCAAACTGTGTCCAGAAGTCCTTGCTGCTGGGGGGAGAAATGTCTGGCTGGAGCAGTCAAGGTGAGCTGCAGATCTCTTCTCCCCAGCCAGCTCCGCGTCTACTGACAATTGTTTCATACACAAGGTCACCCCCGTGCCGCAGACCGGAGGCAGGCACCGCGTCTCTGGGAGGGGATGAGCTTTCACCCAGGGAGTGCAGTGAGAACTGCAGAATGATTGCACTTCCTTCACGTGGGCGGGGCCCAGGTGGAGAGATGTGTTTGCTCAGCCAGCCGTGAAATATGCACACGGGACCGTACGACTCCCCGCTTGGCAGCAGGGACGTGTACAGGGCGCCGGTGCTTCTTAGGCAGGGGACGGCCCAGCTGGCCTGCTTCCGGGCTGTAGCACTGACCTCTCTCTTCTTCAGCTTTTGTTTCTGCCCTCAGAAATCTGACTGGGGCGGGCCGAGGAGATTCAGCTCAGCACAGCTTTGTGAGCGGAGAATCTATCTTGATTTCCATCAGATTAACATGTATTTTTCCCTGATTGCTTCTCTTTAATGATAATTAAGGAAAGCACTTGCGTGTATAGATTTGAGCCAAAGCAATCTTTAACTGGCATAAAAGCTGTGTGTTAAATAATCTCAATAATCATGATAGCTAAAATTTATTGAGCACTTACTAGGTGCCAGACACTGTGCTAAGAACCTTGGATACGTTTTTTTTTCTCATTTAATCTTCGTTACAGTGCTCACTGTTGGGGATCCTCTGGCTGATTCCTCTCAGTAGAATCTATCACCATAGATGTTGTTTTACAGAAAGCATGAGGACGGGGACCGTGGGTGCTGGGGAAAGGGACGGTGGAGGGTACTGGGTGGCAGAGTGCACAAGGGAGAGTGTGCCAGGCTGAGTGAGGCGCCCTGTGCTTTCTGTAAGATGGGTGGCCCGCTGTGGGGTTTGACAGCTGGATTCCACATGGTGTGCTGACAGTGCAGGCCCCAGGCCCAAGAGTAAGGCCTCTGTCTAAGTTTTTATTTGTTTATCTTATTTATTTGAAGGGAGAGCGAGCGAGAGACAGAGAGAAAGAAGGAGGGAGGAGGGGAGGGTAGAGGGAGAGAAGAAGAAAAGAGGCGGAGGGGAGGGGGGAGAGGGAGAAAGAGAATCTCCTACCCACTGTTTCACTCCTCAAATGTCTGCAATAGCCAGGGCTGTGCCAGGTCAAAGTCAGGAGCCGGGAACTCCATCCAGGTCTCCCACACGGGTGTCAGGGACCCAAGTACTTGGGCCATCACCTGCTGCATCCCAGGGCATGCGGTAGCAGGGGGCTGGAACTGGGAGTGGAGCCGGGACTGCGACCCAGGCACTCCGATATGGGCTGCGGTGTCCCAGGCAGCATCTTACGCCCTGCGCCCAATGCCCACCTCGCGTTCTCTCTTTCCACCGTCTCTGAGGACCTGCTCTGCCCCGCAGATGAAAGGGAAGCCTGCTGATGTGCGCTGGGGGAGCTGGGTACCTGGATTTCCGGCACGATGGGGCCTTTCTCTGCACAGGAGCTGGCGAAGGACGTCAGTGGGGAGGGGGAGACGACGGGGTTGGGGCGGGCGAAGCTGCTCAGGTCGCAGCTGGGAATCTCATTCTCCTCGTGCCGCATGGTGATGGTTTCCATGACGAAGAAGCGATCCCAGGGCAGCCAGAGGGTGTGCTCCTGGGTGATGAAAGGCGCGCGCTCGAAGCGCAGCACGGTGGAGATGCCGCCGTTGGTGACCAGGTCAAAGCTGTTGGGTGGGTGGGTGGGGGGTCGGTAAGGGGTGGGGTGGGGGGGCGGTCAGGAAAGCAGGAACAGGAGGGAGGAGGAGGAGGTGGAGGAGAGAAAATTACACCAAAGGGCCTGAGCATTTGGTAAGCGACATCCTGGCACCCAAAGACTTCACTGCAGCTACAAATAGTGACAGTGACTCCAGAAAGCATTTTCTTTCTTTTTTTTTGTAATATGATTCACCACGGAGAATTTGCTGAAACCAAAATAACCACTGCTACAGAGCGCCGTTTTCCAGGGCAGCGGCCAGCCGACAAGCTCGCTGCACCGAAGCTCCTGTCCTCAGAGCCCTTTACCTCCTTCGGAGCTCACGCTGAGGTTACCAGTGGGTGGGATAACGTAGAAGAAGCCCTGACCCCTAGCCCAGTCCCAGTCCTGGCTCTGCTCTGTACTGCTGTGTGACTGTGGGTGAGCCACTGGGCCTCTCTGCTCCTCGCTGTTCTCAGCTGTAAACGCCAAGGTTCACACAGATTATCCTTCATTCACTAAGATCCGAGGACTCTGTAGCGACTTGAGCCCTGACTGTCATACGTCACTCAACAAAAATCTTTGTAGTTACAAAACAGAGAGGCAGCTTAGAGTGGGTTCGACTGGGGTCACGGCATCTTACAAGTGGAAGGGGGATGGCAGGATTGAGTTCCAGCCTCCCACCTGGGGACGGGAAGCAGCTCTGGGCAGTGAGCTGCCCGCCTGGCCCCGGGGGACCTTTGCTCCTCATGCCCCACCCAGTGGGTCTACTCAGGATGCTCTCCTGGCCTCTCCTTGGCCTCACTGACTGCCCCCTGGGCCTCTCCCTCTCCCTCTCTATTTATTTGAAAGGCAGAATTATAGAGAGACAGAGGCAGAGATAGAGAGAGGTCTTCCATCCGCTGGTTCACTCCCCAAATGGCTGCAACGGCTGGAGCTGGGCCGATCCCAAGCCAGGAGCCAGGAGCTTCTTCTGGGTCTTCCACACTGGTGCAGGGACCTAAGGACTTGGGCCATCTTCTACTGCTTTCCCAGGCCACAGCAGAGAGCTGGATTGTGGTGCCCATATAGGATGCTGGCACTGAGGCAGCAGCTCTACCTGCTATAACACTTGGCTGTCCCTGCTCCACAGTCACCATCAGGGGGCCCCATTTTCACCTGAGACTGGGTCCCCCTCCTTCTGGTTCCTTAGTCCCTGGGCCTGTGGGTGACTTTCAATGACTGTTCTTCTGGGATTCGGAAATGGCGATCCTGGCCACCTGCCACTCCCTAGCTCCAGGTGTTTTGAGGCAGCGCTATTAGCTATTACTTTTAGGGGGCATCTTCAAATCCCGTCGTCATCTTGCTTTTTTGGACACCTCCTCAACATAGTCTTACAAAGTCTGACTTCATGCTCCCTCTCTAGGTCCCCCTGCCCAACGTGTGCTGCTCTGTGGAGCCCACATCGAAGGCTGCAATTGCTTGTTTAGCTGTCTGGCCCAGGGACATCAATTCCTCTGACGTTCTAGGAACCAGCCCAGTGCCTGATGGTTGAAAGTCGACAGAAGGAACGCATGAGCGACACTGTTGACCACTTCTAAACACAGTGTCCACTGAACATTCTAAATCCTTTCTTCCTTTGGCTGTTTTTGCAAATCAATCCAATGCTCACCCGTGCAGCTGGTTTGAGAGACCCCAGTGCCGGGCCTCCCCTGTAGCATGATAAATCCACCTGTAGGATTGGGCCCATAGCTCCAGGTTACTCTGGCCTCTTCCTAGAAGCTACAAAGATGTAACATTCGACCCTTCTGTTCTAACACCAAATCGTGCTCTTGGCACCCCCAGACCTGGGTCCCCGGCTCTGAATCCAGACTCTTTAGTGTTGTACGGGAGCTTTCCACCCACTCTGCCTGCTTCTCACTCATCCCTTTGGGGTCCATACTTGGGTAGAGGAAGTCAGGTGCCGCCATTCCTCCACACGATATGACAGAGCAACACCAGAGAAAGCATTTCTTTTGGATCAAGATTTTGGGTTGTGGCGCCCCGGGAGTGCATCCACGGTTTTGGGGAAACACCCAGCTCACAACTTCTCTGTCACAAAACTGGGTAGCATCTGTGCTTTGACAGAACATTTTTACCCATCAGATAGAATTTTGGCCAGACTTACCCGCTGCCTTCCTGGGAGGGCGGGTGTGGGGAGGGAGGCAGGGACGACAGCATGAAAAGACAAAGTCTCAAGGCTGCCAGCAAGTTGGGAGCAGCCGGTCTTGCCAAGAGCTGAGTGTAATGGGCCAGGGCCAGGCCTGCTCATCTGCAGGAGAAACCTGGATGTGGCCATGAATGTGCAGCTGATCCCAAGGGGAGGCCTCACTCCCACAGGAAGCCCAGACAGCTCAGGGCCTGTCTGAGCCCAGCGACTCACTCTACGGGTAAGTTACGTCACCTGTCCCAGCTTCCATGTCCTCCTCTCAAAATGAGGCTGCTGCTCAGGTCACTTGGCAGCGCCATTAATTAGACAGATGCAACACTGGGGAGATGGGGGCGCAGGGCCCCAACAGTCCCTGGGCCTCACGCACCGTATAATCTTGTTTTGCAACTCCGTGAGCCTGAAATGCTTCTCTCGTCTGCTCTCCTTTTAGTTTTTCTATGTGACCTTTCTTGTCCATCATTTTAAAGGATCCCTTTGGCTAAGCGCTCTGCTACTGTTTTCTGTTTAGGAGCACCTGTGAAGACCTGCAGTCTGGTGTTTCAGCATGTGCGTGCGCGTGTGTGCATGTGCATGTGCGTGTGTGTGTGTGTGTGTGTGTGGCAGGGTTGAGGGAGCTGGAAGCACAAAGACAGGTAAGACATGGTCCCTGGACTCTCAGTCCCCTGGCATACACTGTCACCTCGGGGCTCCAGCTCCTGTCTTAGGGTTCCTCCAGGGTGTGAGAGGTAAGGAAGAAGGTGGCTCAAGGGAGAAAGGGCAAGAAATGGGCAAGAGGCTTCCTGTTCCCATTCAACTGAGGGAGTCCGACACGAGGAGAACAGCTGACGGCTGCCCAGGGCATCACGCGGGCTCTCTGTCGGGAAGCACAGTGAAGCCCTGTGGCACACGGGTGAGAACCCATCTGAAGCTCAAGCTCCAAGGTAAGGAGAGGTGCAATAACCGTGCAGGCGTTTGCTTCCCTCCACCTCTGCGCAGTGGAGACTGCAGAGGGAGCACAAACAGGAGCAGTGCAGGCCTGCAGGAGCCAGGGAGCAACGTCATGCCAGACTCTGGGGTGCTCATGGGTGACCCCAACCGAGTATAGCCGGGGGAGAGGGGACTGATTGACAGGCAAGTTTCCTGGCAAAAACAGAGCAGTCCTCCAAGGCGCCCTTCTTTTAGCTGCTTCACGGCAGGTGACAAGGTGGTCAGACCACCTGCTGCCTGGGATGCACACAGCTGCTGCGTCCACAGAGCTGGCAGCCCTGAGCGAGCAGGAAGGCAGTGAGGACAGAGCCTAATGAAGAGAATTCCTGCGCACCGCAGCGGGAGTCTGCACGAGGTGTCCTGGCTTGGAAGGCGTTTAGGGCAGGCAGGGGCTGCTGCCCGCTGGGGCCAGGCCGGCCACGGTGTCTGCGAGCTGGGCCCCTTCCCATTCATGTGGAGTTGGGGGAGGGCTCCCCACGCCAAGCTCGCCAAGCCTAAGAGGCACACGTGTCTACAGACAGCTGAGCCCCAACTTCATTATCACCTCGGCCGGGACATGCTCACGTCTGATATTGGATTAAAGAGGTGCTGAAATCAATCAGGCTGCAGCACATTTCCAACGCCGAGTGAAAATCACCCTTATGGGCCCACACTTAGCCAGATGGACCGCTACCACCTGATTTCATTAAAAATAGAGGACTTGTCGCCACCGACAGCCTAAATATTCCACTTTCCCTCTTCTTGCCTTTTCTCCAAATATCCTCACTGCCGGTCCTGTCACCATCACCTTCTGTCAGTCAGCAATCTGTAATTTTAGCAAACCAGCTAGTATTTCCTGTGTGCTTACTACATGGCAGACGCTGGAAATACAGCAATGAATCAGACAGGGACCGGGGACGAAGATTTATTAAGTGCCTACTATGTGCCAGGTGCCTCCCCATCCACCGTGTCCTCCGATTCGCACCATCAGTTTGTGAGCTGGAGGGTGGGAGGACCACTCACCAGCCAGGCAAGCGGAGGCTTGGCTAGGCCGGGAGACCTCTCAAGCAAGGACAGGAGACTAACAGTGAGGACAGAGCCAGGGCTGCTAAGGAAGCTGCACTCCATTCCACTGATGGCTCTGGAAGGAATTCCAAGGCTGGAATTCTGTCATCACCCCAATGGCTTCCAGAGTTTTCCAGAACTATCTGGGGTGCAGGAAGTAGATTCCATCAGAAGTCAGGGCACAGGATGACAGGGACAAGGTATCAAACACTGTGGGAACCAAATGAGAAGAAACTCTTTCCTGTGTGGCCTAAAGGACCCAAGCCAGAGCCAGACACAAGGGGACGCAACCTGGGCATGGGCACTTCGGCTCATGCCCTCTGAAGCCAAGGGCCGTCCTTTCCCCATGCTGCCAGCCCGGCAGCAGCTGTGCGGCCAGACTCGCAAGAACAGGGCCTTCACTGCTCCCGGTCCAGCAGGGGTCGCCTACCTGCCGTCTTGCCTGCTGATTGTGTACCCGAAGAGAGGGTTAGTGACGAAACTGACGTTCACACCAACCAGCGGCGTCCCATCGGATGTCATCACTTGGCCACGAATGACACACGCGTGCCTACGGGGAGAGAAGAGACAATAGCAGGATACAGCTGTCGTGGTCAGAGCCCTGGCCGGCAGGGGACCCCAGAGGTCAGAAGCCAGGAGACTGGTCGCGCACAGACACGACTAGCACCCAGGGGCTCATGGCATTCACTCCTGAGAAGCGGCAGCCTTTCAACATAGCCTGTCAATGCAAGGCATCAAGCCATCCTGGGGAGACCTGCTCTGGAAGGCGTCGTCAGCTACCACACCGCAGTATGTTCGAAGGAGATAAAGCCAACCCCAGAGGGCCATGCAGAGTAGCTACATGTGTGGATTTGGAACTAGGCGACCTGGGTTCAAATCCCAGCTCTGTCCCTTCCTAGCTCTTGGAACGCATGCAGGTATGTAGCATTTCTGGGAGTCTCCCCACACTTTTTTTTTTTTTTTTTAATCCTGGTACAGACTCCAAAAATGGCAGCAGCTCTCGCTGTCATGAATGGTCCCAGTGGAAATGAGCACCCGTGACATGAACAGGACAGAAGGGACTGACTCCCTTTCATGTGGCAGTAGACCAGAGAAGGGCGGATGTTGGTGTCCCTTAGCAGTGGGACCTGCCTCCATTCCCAATATCCCCCCTCCCACTCCGCCTTGATCTCATGACGACAACCACCTGCTTTCCCCCAATTGACCAGGGCAGTGTCGCTTAGAACCCCAGTGCACTGTTCTGTTCGCCCACAGTGTGGTTCCTGCGCCACCTCTGCCCCAGCCTCATCCTCCAAGACCCAGTTTCAAGCGAGAGCTCTGCCCGAAGCTTTTCCTGATGCCCCTTGTCAGGACCAGGTTCTCTGTCCCCCGAGACCTGACACATGCACAAACACCCCCACGCCTCGACACCTCGCAAACCACACCGCTTTGACTTTTCACTAGATCACCGGCTCGCTGAGGGCAGGGTCAAGTTCTTTATTTTTGTTTTCATTCCACCGTGTCTGGTCTATTCCTAATAACTACAAGGTCACTGATTTAAGACAATGGGGGACTGGGCACCCAAGTGGGACAATGGAAAGCCATCTAGAATGGTGGTTTTTCAAATATTTCAGAAAGAGAAACTTTAGCAGATGACATGATATGGAGGACCCCCTAGTGGAAAACAAATGAAGAGCTATGTTCCAGACCAAGTCATGAGGGTGGCCACCTCTCTCCCTGGGCTGGTTCTGAAGGCAACTCTGCACAGTCCTAGTCTCTGCAGATGGCAGTTCGACTGCAAAATCACCGAGTTATGAGAACCTTTGCATTATTCTCTCAAAGATTTATCTATTTTATTTTATTTATTTGTTTGAAAGGCAGAGAGAGGAGGAGAGACACACACACACAGATTTTCCATCTGCTGGTTCACTCCCCAAGTGGCTGCAATGGCCAGGGTTTGGCCAGACAGGAGCCAGGAACTTCTTCTGGGTCTCCCACGTGGGTGCAGGGGCCCAAGGACTTGGGCCATCTTCTACTGCTTTCCCAGGCCATAGCAGAGAGCTGGATAGGAAGGGGAGCAGCTGGGACTTGATTTGGTGCTCATAAGGGATGCCGGCACAGCATGAGGCAGCTAAACCCATGACACCACAATGCTGGCCTTATCCTCATTTTATAGAAGAGAAGTCTGCAGTCCAAAACAGTTATATTATTTGCCCAAAGCTACACGGGAAGGCAGTGGCAGAGCTAGGTGCTGGCCCCAGGCCTTGCAACTCTGGGTCCAACTCCAGATCAGTCTGTATCCCACGGGTAAGGGGTAGAAATAAAGGTGCTCGCTGGTGGCATCAGTGTCCCAAGTGATCAGGGCACAGGGGAGACGTCCTCCTAGACAAGACAGATCTGAGGCAAAAACGCAGGTGCTGCTGTCCACCCAACTTCCTCCCCTCACCTGGGTTCAGATGGCTTTTTTTCTGGCCTAGCAAAGAGACCCCTGGGCATTTGTTCAGGAAGATCTCAAATCAGCCCTTAGATGCTTTATTAGGTGTCTGTGTTTCTACCTTCCTGCAGTGATAAACTTCTCTCTGTTTGATGAGAAAAGCAATGAACACCAGGCTCGTAAGCAGCTGGTCTCACCAGTGTCAGCCTGTGCTTTCTGAGGACAGGAGCGGCTGCCCACGATGCCCCCCGCCCCACCGCACCTCACTCCACACAACCTGGTTAATGCTAATTCAGTCAGTGGTTTCCTTCCAAGGCCCTTGGTCTAAATGCAATTAAGTGGCAAATAGGCGGGTGAAGCAAAGACTTTCAGGTCTGCTCCGAGGTCTCCCAGTATATTTATGTGAAATTCTCTTTTGACGAATGGGAAAAATTGATTTTTATCCACTGTGTTCCCTGGTAGCGGGAGAGGCTTTCTTTAATGGAGGACAATTGAGTTTCCTGTTGCTGGAGAATGACTACCAGACCTCCTCTGCTGGCGCTGGCTCCCCTCCAGCTTCCTCCTGGCCCCCAGAGCTCCGGATTCTGCCTGGACGATAACCGGCCCTCTGGGGAACGGTTCCTTCGCGGGGCTGCCCTGGCTGCCCCTCACACACAGGCAGCCAGCCTCTTCTGAGTGATCTCTCTTTGGGGATTTCCTGATAATTGGGAGCTGTCAAAGCAGCACCATTTGGCTCCCAAATAGCCTCCAGTTAGGCAAGCCAGAGGAGAAGTAATTTTAGCCCGGGCTCCTGTGGCTTGCTTTTGGGTTCTGGGGAAGATTATGTTGACTTCCTGTCCCCCAGTAGGCCCTAGAGGCCTCTTGCCAAAGCAGACAATTGGTGTAAGAGTTAAGTCTTGGGGAAAAACACTCCCACCCCCCTTCCACTGGACCATGATTTTCAGTTGCCAAGCAAGCCCAGGTTAATATAAATCTCCCCTACAACAAAGGAGCTGAGGCCGTCAGCTCTGGGAAGGGCTCTGCAATGTGTCTCTTGCCACATGTTGTCGCCTGGGCAGGTATAAAAGACACAAGGCCTGGGGTTCCCAAAGCTCACCGTCTTCAACCATTCACTTCGTGGGTACTGGTAAGTGTTTAAGAATTGACTTTCCAAAAAAAAAAAAAAAAAAAAAAAGGAAAAGGAAAGAAACCAGCTTTAATATGCAGCATCTGCCCATTTCTGTGGTGTAAACACTCTCATCCTAGCCAATTTCCAGCTACCAATGAGATGCCCCTGAATGCAGAGCTCGGGAGAGGTGCACAGTAGGACAGCATTATGCAGCATTTCCTGCAGACATATAACAACAGAAAGTCAGCAGCCAGGATGATCCTAAAACATAGGAACATTTGTAGGAAATGACGCACTGTTAAAATATCACTATTATCTTTGTTTTCTACATAATTTTGTAGCATTCAATTTTGAGCAAAGGCTCTTTCTAACAGTAAGCTCACAGAACTGCTGCACATTTAATTATCAGTTCCTGTGAGCTGGTATGAGCTGGCTTCTGAACATTCCCTGGAACACGGACCCCATGCTAAGGGTCACGCTCTAGCTCAGGGCTGTGGTTATGGCTAAGAAACCATTGCTGCTCTGAACAGGGAGCTCTATAATGGGAGACCACCTTAGTGAGAAACCACTGACGAGGGGTGCACATTGTCACCAACCCGTCTGCCCAGCTCGCACACCTGCGTCTTACCACCAGTCTTGTATTTGATGCAGTTTGCTTTCCTTGGGTCACTGCCTTGGCGTAACGCAGTTGTGGGCTATTATTTTCTGCTCATGCCTAGAGTTCCATCTGAGCCATCACCATCATTTCAGTAGGGCTGTCATCACATCAACCTTTCCTGGCGCAGTGATTCCCCTCCTGCTCTGGGCTCCTCTGACCCTCCATGACCAGGACTGTCAGATGATTACCGAATGCACATTTCCAAAGCTGTCTCACACGCTAGCACGTGAGCAAGGGTGGATGCTGCCTCCCCAAGGGTGTGTTAAATGAAAAAATGATCCAGACACTGAAACCCGGAGAGAAGAGACTTGCTCATGGTCATCCCATGAAGAACGTCACGGGCTGCCCTGACGGTCAAGCTGGCCTTCGTTCTCCCAAGTCCTGACCCAAGTCCTGTGTCATAGCCACACAGTTCCTAAAATTTACTTTAACAAAAAACTGGGCACCCACTGTGAGCCAGGCCCTGTATGAGGCGCTGGGGTCGTGGAAAGGCATGAAGTACAGTCCCTAGTTACTTGCCAGAGCTCATGAGAGCAAAACGCCTTAGTGTAGTTGTCTCTGACACCAGAAAGTCAATGCACAGGCTTGGCATATGTCAGGCAGCTGGGATACAAACAAGCAATTAGGCTGGGTGAACTCTGCCAGGAGGGAGCGCTTGTGCCAGGCCAAGGCGGGCAGCAAACACACCGGAGTCAGTCCAGCAACATGCACAGGGCCCAACTGAGGAGCCACTGCGGGTGCCAGCCAGGACAATCTGCCCCGTGGCTTCCTGAATATAGTGACCAGGGATGGGATCGAGAGAGGAGTCTGATGGAGAGACAGAGCTGCCGTGACCAAGAATAAAGCCAGTAAGAAACCAGCATCCCTCATCACTCAGGGAGAAGGGGTGGTGACAGGGAAAGAGCTCTGGTCCCAGCTCTGACACCTGGAATTGCCTGTAGGGCCTTGGAGAGCCACCTGATCTCTCTGAACCTCCGTTCTCTTATCTCCCAAATGTAGGCTGAAGTTTCTCCCAGCCCGGCATAAAACAGAATCCCACATGCATTTCAGACTGCTAAGTTTTAATGTGTTGCTTCCTAATCCAGCTCACGTAGCCCTACTAAGTGTGCTTTGATGCTGATGCTCGTCTTGGAAGTGTCCTCCCCCTCTGGCACCGTCCATCCACTTATTTTGTTCACTTGCTCATTCTTCAGGACCCAGCTGGAGCAGTCCCTAAGCAGCGTCCACCACTCCTGCCCCTTCAGGAACTTGAGACAATCTTTCCCCCCAAAAGCAGACCACGGGCTCCTTGGAGACAGGGATCAAGGACATGTCTCTCACTGCTATATTCCCAGCACTGAGTGGGGCTGTGTTCAAAGTCATTTCTCACCA